TTTGGACCTCTCCAGACGCGTGTAGTATCGTTCTGTGTTTTAACCTGTACAGTCGCGCCATAATTCATATATAGAATAAATGTTAATCTTTTATTGTATGTGGCCCTGTTTGTAATGATTAATTTCACACGAACTCGTGACCACAGGCTACTTATTAATAAGGAGTTTAAAGGAATCTTAGCAGTCGAGAGAATTTACAAAATATTCGCGCGACGATGTAGGAATCTTCGTTGAGATTAGATTTTCAAGAGTTAGTTCGGGTTAAATTCAGGTGATTAAGATGTAGATCCAGGTAGAGTTCCGATGTTAATCCATGTGGAGTTCAAGTGATAATCCAGATTTAGAGTTAGGAAACGGCGGTGGTGGGACACACACACATACGTACACACACAAGAAGGTTCACGACTGAGGACGGAAAAGCTTCTCCTCGGATATTCCCATTACAGTCGATCCCCCTATAACACTGTTGATTATTCCGTTTTATATGAATTTCATGTCGTATGAGTCACTAGATTTTACAAATACCTGAGCCGGCTACAGCCCGGGTCGACTTGTATATAAGTTAAGTCAGCGCTGTCCAACTTATCATAGCCCGCGGGCCATATTTTCTTCACCAAACATTTCGGGGGCCAAGAAGGTTGCTGCTGTATTCAGCCAGGTTAAGTGAAGTTACGCAAACTAAATAGTACCTACTTTAAATTCAAATTAGATTTAAATTTTCACATAGTAAAATAATTTTAATATTATTAATAATAATTTAGTAACAAATTTATTCATAGTAAAATGTACTCGCGTGTCGCCAGTTGGACAGCCCTGTAATAGACCCACTGATACCCACTGAAAAAATTCAAAATATTTAAGTTAAAAACGTTGGTAATTTGGAACTTACAAAAATATATTCGGCTTAATAAGAACAGTCGAAAATTTTGGTTTGAAATTATGAACGAATCAACGTTTGTCGCTTTTCACCTGAGAAGGTTTATAGAACTTCAGGATATATTAACTCGTATTTGGATTATTTTAATTGCATCAGTTGGATTGTATGTTGTTGTGATTTATCGATATATATTTTCACCATATATCAGTTATAAGTGGTCTATAACATTAGGTATTTCTATGTTTCCAGGTATAATTTGCGATATATACATTGTATTATATAACATTGCTTTTATTACTTTTCTCATTCTTTTCGAATTACATAAGATATAATTGTTTGCAATAATTCACCGAATAGATAAAAAAAATCAAGATAGTTCTTTCAAACTTGTCTGGCAATGTTTACCAAAGTGCAAAGCCACTCTTAAATTTTGTAATGATATTCAAAATAACTATTCTATTACAGCTGCCTCTTGATAGTCCGACGTTTTTTAATCCGACATGCTCAGTAGTCCGACGCACATCCTGTCAAGGTAACCGTAGTCCCCGTCCTCGTTACGTGTCTGCTTGCACAGAAGCATGTCGCGACATGAATTTTCCCACCCAATTCTTACACGATAACCCAGATTTCGTGTTTTCCGTAAGCAGTTCTGTTCGAACAGTTGGAGTAGGGAATATTGTAGGTTAGTGCTAGCAAAACAATGCTAAATATGTAATCACTTTCGGTAATCCGGACACTTTTGGTAATCCGACACCCCTTTGGTCACATTCCTGTCAGATTATCAAGGGACAGCTGTATTTTGGCCATTACACTATTTCTTGTTGAATTTTTACTTGGATCGCTTGTAATTACTCCTAAGTTACTGTTTGTTAAGTGTGTACTATGAATATTATTAGTACTCATAGTGGTAGTCCTGCTATACTTGTATTATTTATCGACGACGACATATCTAAGTAGATAAGTATAGTTATTTTAATTAACGTTAATAATAGTAAAGATTTTGATTACACTTTCTATTGATATAATAGTTTTATAATTTTGTAAATTAACATCAAAGTAATTATATCTTGTATAATAGCGTTATTTTTTTCTGCTGTATGAAATAAAAATAGAAATAAAAGCATTATTTCTATTCTCTGTCACATAGGTCCCCTTTTCAGCGAGGGTAATCTGCATGTGCTGAATAGCCTAGCTGAAAACGGTGACACAGAAAAACAGGACGAGACAGGATAGTATCTGAAGAAGTTGCTCCTGCGGATAGTATCTTATGTCACCCAGATTGATAGGCTGAATTTCTAACCGTTTTGCCCATTTGAAGAAACAATACCGATATGTCCCAGGAGCTTTCATTATTTTTACGTAT